ACCACCAACTAAGGGTAAAATGTATCAAGTTTTGAAGATCAACCTTTCTCAACTTGCTAAAATTTTTGCTTCAGTCAGTATTGTGTTTTCGAGTAACAATTTCATCAACTAGCACAAAGATAGGCAYCACCAAGGAATTCAGGGTTAAAATGGYTAAAATGGAGCTGATAGGGGMATCSTCTCCAYARCTCTAYACACTGYCCAAAATTTAGAGGTTAAGGTTGTRGTAAAGCCAYTTAGGGCCCAAGAAGAAGGTCTCTAAGTCAGATTTCTGGGCATCTTTCAAGAATCACCCAGCACATGCAACTAAATTCATGGCATTCAATGTCTGTGCTCAACAATTCTGTTGCAGGAYGGCAAGAAAAACTCTTTAAATGCCCTTCTGCTGACAAGAGGATCTACCTATCGTGTTCAGCTGAGACACAGCCCCTACTCCTTCCTATTTCCTGTAGGAGGTTTTGCACCTGCAGACAAACAGTGGAAGACACTCATTGCTGTCATGAGCTAAAACAACATTGTAAAAGCTTGACTGTCTCAGGTACCACAAGAGAGTGATCAAATGATCCAGCCATGCACTCACCTTTCCAGTTTAAAGCAACCACTAGCAATGGTTTCTCTAAATAATGACCTGTTTTAGGTATACACACACACACACAGATTTATGTATATTTAATATTAAAATAACAGCAGGACAGTTTTGGAAATCATGGCTATCTCCACTTCCACCTGCACACCCTGACATCACATCTTATCATTTGTGTCTATTTCTCTCTGCATCTTTCATCTTCTGCTGCTCTTGAGCTGACTCAGAACCAAATCGTCAGCAAACCTCACCATCACCTAATTCTTCAGTGCTCTCCTATGGAGGAGGGAGGAAAAGAAAAAAGAAATAAAACTGTCCCTTTAAAAACCCAAGCATTTAAGCTGCTTGTCAGTCGTCTTCCTGACAAGGCCACTTGAATGTATTCAGGAATATTTGCATAAATGCTCACAGTGAGTTCACCGTGGCAGATAGTGCTAATGGTACATAAAGTAATTTAGTCACTTCTCTTAGGCATCCTGTCAGGGTGATAAGCACCCCCTCTTTGCCTTGTTRCATATTAGATCATTAGATAATAAAGTGTTAGAGCATGCAAACTGACAGGGTCTCGGGGACTATCATTTTTCGAGGGCATTGCATTCTGCCAGAGAGGAAAAATAATAGAGAAATTGATGCTGCAATTGGCTTTACATTCTTGTGAAGACATTCAAAAGATTTGGGGAGAAAAAGAATTTTTTGCTTTGCAATGATATGAGATAACTGGAAACTTTGCAGCAGTGGATTTATTGCTGGTAAACCTGAAAAGAGTCACGGCAAGCCCTGCCAGAATTCTCCTCTTCCATAAGTTCATCACTTCAATTTCATTGGGAAGATTTTGCTTTTAAAATTGACACCCTGGGATGAACTACAAGCTGAAATAYATCCTACTGCTTGGGGCCTGTTGGCTCTTCACTATACATCTTACTCTATATATAATTTGGAAAGGTCAACCACACCAACTTTCTGGTTTACCATAACTATAAAAGCAGTGAAGATCCAACTATTTATGAATGAAAAAGTGATAATTATCAAAAACCACAGATTACTGTGGYTTACCCTATTTATACCACACAGAGATGGATGAAATAATAATTGTCCTCTGCCAGCTATTACTTTTAAAATATAGATGTATTTATTTGAAAGATGAGCTTCTTAACCTGCTGGTTTCATTGGGGCAACATGTGGATGCAAAACCATGATCTGAGGTCCTGGTTATATTGAGAGAAATAAGCGACAAAAAGGAATCTTCCCTTTACTGAGTGAAAAGTCTGACAAGCGAGATATAAATAGAGGTGTGTTGGAAGTCCCAAAAATAATCCAGGCTACCTGCTAATGAGATGGTGAAACCCAAATGTGGAGACACCAGGCTCCTGAGTGGCTCGGGAGGTGCAGCTTTTTGGCACCCAAAGTCTCTTTTAGGTGTCACATAAACTCCGTGTTTCAGAGCAGCAAACACAAGTTTGAAGGGAAAAATAAGCTGGATATTGTCTGACTAAACTCAACAACCAGCACACCTTGCTGCACCCTGTYCCCCCAGCCCTCACAGTCAGGCATTCACCTCTATTGCCATCAGACATTTGTGTTAAAAAATTAAACATCTGAAAAAGCCCACGGGAATACATTTGGTCAAGGGTACATTATAGACAGAGCTCAGATTTTACAAGCCTATGATGAGAAGTTGCTCACCAGAGCAACAAACCAAATCTGACTACGTTCACTTTCCATCTCCCTGCTTATGGATACTRCTCAGGTCAATCTGTCCTTCCCCTGAGGAAGCTGGGAAGAGGAGAGGCCAACAAAATGACTCTGATATGACCAGAGACAAAAATTCAAAGAAAAATAATATGCCTTTTGAGTCAAACTGAAAGTAAAAATTAATTTCAGTGAAGGAAATGATCATCTGTTCCAATGAGTCTTGTCCAAAATTCAATAGCATTAAGCTTTTTCCTTTATTTTTTATTTATTTAGTCAAGTGTTTTAGATACCTAATAACATCAGAACAACAGTTCCTGTATTTTTAATTTTTTTTCCCATTTCTTGGACTCACATGGGCAAAAATCTTGGACACAAATCCTGGACAGCAGGATTGAAGGATTTAAGTTAAAAAGAAAGGCTCCACCAAGCCTTTGCAAGAGAGCAATTTTGTAGTGTGAAGGTTGCTATTCAAAAGTAAGAATTTACTAGCAGTTGCTTTATGAGGCTGCTAGAGAGGTGCCTGAGAAAGTAGATTAGAARAATCACCTTTCCCACAAAATGTACACATGGAGATATTTTTCAGATGTTGACTTTTAATATCAACACAGTAATTCTGGTGTGTGTAGCTACGTAAGCAGAGAGTTTATCTTTTTTTGTTGCATTTTTCCCAACAGAATCCCTCAGGTTGTACGAGTGGGAACGACAGCTGTGGTAAAATGAGACACTACTATGCATGAGAATAAGGGCATTTATGTAAGAGAAATTAAGTACTGAGAAGATTTCAATGGGGAAAAAAAGAAAAAAAAAAAGAAAAAAGAAAACATGGCAACTACTGTAGTTGGAATATAAGAAAAAAAATAGTAATGTTTTTTTTAAGACTAGACTTAATGGAAAGATTACAAAGTTGAACAGAAAGAAGTTTCCTTTTGTAATGCCTTCTGCTAATTAATAAAGACAGAGTTCATACATTCCTTATAAATTTCAGTAAAAATTATGACAGTGGTTTGTTTATTAAATTAGGTTGTTGGCAGGATGAAAAAAAATCCTATAACATGAATTATGGCTGAAAATGGCTCATAGCCTACATAAAAAGTTAGAGCTAAATAAATACAGATGTAAGTTATGTTTATATAATGAGAAACGCTGCTGAGCTAAGAATTTTAGGTTAGTAAGTGTGAACTACAGACCCGATTCTGCAAACACTTATCAATACCCTCAGCTTCTCTGACACAAGAAGCCTCATTGATCCCAACAGGACCATATGTGAGCATAATCTTAAATATATGCATAAGTGCTTGCAGGACTGATGCCTGAAAGCATAAACAGAATAGAAAAGTATTTCCACAGGAATCCACTGAGCAGTAGAAACCCACACATTTTCCCATTTCTCAGCATTAATAATTTCTTTTAACATATCTAGYTAACATTTTTCTGAGTGGCATTTGCTTTCCCAGAGAAAATTTTATCTGGTTTCAAACTCTTTGGAAAAAAATCTATTTAATTATTCATCAGATCCTTGGCAAATATTTGTGAAACAAACCAGCATAAAGGACTGGTGCCTTCTACACTCAGCTACTTCAATGGGAGCTGAGGGTACACATCTCTTAGAGGGAGCAAGCACCTATTGAATTTAGGATTACAAACAGCTTTGAAGACAAAGAGCTATTCTACCAAGCTGGAACAGGGAGAGGGGAGTGAAATGCCCTCTGTTTTTGTTTTGTTTTTCAGCAGTAGTCATCAACTTTGAGGACAAAGAGCAAAACAAAACATTAATCAAATCCAGATTTTTCAAAGTACATTTGCAYTCAACAGCTCCCATTTTAAGCACCTACAGCCACCAGCAGATGTTCCCTTCCAGGACCAGCTGACCTTACAGAAGAGATTACTGTCCCCAGGCTGCTTCCAGCCACGTGCCCCATCCCACCCTCGCTGGAGYTTACTGTCCTTTCAGAAAAGCCAAATTGCCTTGCACCATTTCTCCTTCAATCATTTCAGCAACAAAGAGTGATTATTTAAATGCTTTAATTCAAATGAACTTCATTGGCCTGGAGGAGACCAGGGAGCAAGCACACAACTATCCTAGCTGGCACATCCATGGTGAAGAACAGCCTGGAGCAGGGAGGGGAGACAAACAGCTGTGGGAAAAGCAACRTCCCCAGCTGGCACAGCTGGAGCCAGAAAAGAACATTCATCCATGGCYTGAGTAAGCAGATGGATTCCCAAAAGGGCTCTGCTTCCATTTAGGGTAATTCAAAGGAACAGATGAGTCTCCTAGAGAGCTCAGCAACCTCTAGATAGAAGAAATGCAATCTGAAATTTGGGTGCTGAGCACTTCAGAAAGTAGGCAACGTCCTTTAGATGCACAGTCAAAAACCAGGGCTGTCGGGAAAAAAGATCAGACTCCAATTTTGGGTGCTGAATAGATGAAACTAATATAAAAAAAACAGAAATCACCACACTTCACTGACACACAGGACAGCCTCTGCACCCATGTTTGCTTCCTGGTTTGTCATTTCACTACATTTAGAGCTGACCTACTTGAAAAATTCCYGCTTTGGTCTGGAGGCCAGTCCCTTTCAAATATCTGGCCCCAGAGGCATAAACGCTCACAGGACAATTTTGAAAGCAGCAGCCAGAGACACAAACCACAGAAACCCACATTTAAAGTAGCAATGCCAACCAATGAAAATGATTTGCCTACCATGTTCCAGATAAGAAGGCGTACCTTCCGAGGGATCGAGTCTTCGAGCTCTCCGCCCATGCTTGGAATTGTTGTGCACAAACATRTTGTCCGACACTGCCAACACATGGCCATCAACGTTGACTGTTGTAGACACCACGACCTGCAAGCACGAGAGCAAAATGGAGGAAAATTTGGATATATCTGTGTGTTTTTTAAAAAGCGCAGAGCGTAATAAACTCAGCTAAATAAATAACAGCTGGGAGCTGTAGAAAATTGCAAAGCTATTTCGCATAATAACTGGTGCTTATGCTGTACAAATCTAACAAGAGGCGCTATTGACGAGTGGGTCTTTGGCATCRAGAGCTTTTGATGCAGTTTTAAGTCAAATTGCAGAGTTTGTAGCTGCGTGGCAGACAGCACACTGTTAACCATCATTTTAACAAGAGGATCTTTATTAAGTATTTTTTTCCCCTATGTACAAGGGCAGCTGTGTTTCACCCTAAATTATCCTGCAGTTTCCACGCTGAAGCAGATAGAGATGTTGACATTGCACACGAGAATTGCTTCAGAATAAAAGAAAACAAAAGCATATTTTGTGAAGTTGTAACAAGAGTTTTTGCCTGCCTTGTCCCCACCCTTCTCTGCTGCTCTCCCGTCAGCACAGCCACTGCAGGTTGCTGGACTTGCCCAAATTTCTGCCGAGCTCTATCTTAAGGAGTACATATAGGCATGTTTGTGTACACACACACGCTTGACAGTGGGGTCTTGATCTGGAGAACACAACCCTATTCATCCAGTGTTAGGATTATTTGTATTTCTCAACTTATCTCAGTGTCAACACCTGGGATTTGGTTTTGAGGCGAAGTGAGGGAGACACAGCAGGACCATGCTGGAGGCAGGATCTGACATTTCTGCTCCCAGAGCTGCCTGGGGYGGGAGAGGAGCCAGCCCAACAGGAGCAAACAGGTAAATGATGGGTTCAGAGGAGGAGACCCAGCTGCTCCGAGGTGTCCAGRGGGACTCCTCAACCCTGAGGCTCCTCAAGGAAATTCCTGTCCAGGCAGAGGGCACATGAGCCAGGAAATATCACGGAAAAACCAGTCCCCTACAGAGCTGCGAGCTCATCACTTCTCCTCCCACCCCATTCAGACCAAGGACTCTCACAGCGTCCTGGCTTTCATTCAGCCTTTTCCCAACAAAAGTATGGCATTCCCAGGGTTTTACCACAGCCAAAGATGTGGCCTTCAGCTGGCTSCTCGTTTGCCAGGAGCACGCGCCGCCTTCGAGAACTTTGACTAAAACAATAAGAAGAAATGACCTACACTTCTCCTTACATTAAACAGGGAAAGGGATTAAAGACTGAAACCCACAGAGATATGTTTATTCATGCGACCTCTTACAACCAAATATAATAATTGTCTGTTAATTGCAGTTTCAGCTCCCACCTCATGCTTCGACATGTGAAACAGCAATCAGCAGCTCCTGTTTAATCCACCTATTATGTTGACTAATTAACTTTGCTCGACAGTTTATTTCTTCCTCCATTATCAGCCCCTGTCAGCCGCAAGCACAGTGCCGCAAAGGGGGACCTCAGCCCTTTTGATTGATCACCGATAGATTGACATGCAGATTAATTTAATTAGAATCACCTCACTTGAGAAATGAAAGACAATGGCAAGGGGGCTAATAGATCTGCTCTTATAATGAGGCAAGCCTCCAGAGCCACGGCAGAGGATTTCTGATTTATTTTGCTGAATTCCCCAGTCGCTCTGAAAGGCTCTCGCTTTAATTGTTCTTGGTTTTGAGAGGCTTTAGCCTCTGAAGAGGTGAAATGCTTTACAAGGATTGGCAAACATTGCTTCAACTCTCTCAGGAAGCTGCTGCCTCTCAAAGTTGGTCAAATGGGGACACTTAAAGGATCGCTTACAACTATTCAATTTCATCACTTGAATTGGAGCTGAAAAAAAAAAGTGCAAAGAAAATTTTTCTTCCTATTTCTGGCCCCCAATTAAAATACTCAAAAAGTAAGCAAAGCCACTCAACTGCCCAGAGCCAATCCTGAAGTCTTTGTCTTGAAAAAGAGGAATACAAAAGAGASTAGTTTACATCTAAAAGATCCTAACCCCATCCCTCTGAATGGCATTCCAGGCAATAGATTTTTCTGCATGTTTTAAGTGAAAGATATTAAAATACAGCATAAATGATTCAAGAGCTCCAACAGATGGAAATTTGGGAAAAAGAAAGCACCAAATACTACGGATAAGTTTTTCTGAAATCAAACTAAGGAGAGGAAAAAACCCAAGCCCTATATATAAAATTCCAAAAGGGATTTCAAAAGTAATTTATCCATTGCATTCCTGAGGGATAGAATAAAKTTTATGATATTTTCAATAAAATATGATCTTATAGTAAGTAGCTTGGGGTTTGCAATCTTATTTGGGCACTTGCAACCATTGTAAATTCCTTRCAAGTGGGATTTTGAGCCAAATCCTTGGCATCGCCTGTCACAGCTCCATGATTTATGCCAGCTCCTTATCTTCTTCTATGGGTCTGATCAGATGCATATAAAAATTAACAAAATTAAAATTAATAACARTGGCTACAAGATAAAATATTTTCCCCAATTTCAAAACCCTATAGGTACACGCAGATTTCCTGCTGAGGCTGATCAATCCTGTGCTGAAACTAAAAGTTTTGAATATTTTTAGAAATGGGATTCCATAAAAATAATGAGTTGAGAGTAGTAACRGTAAGGTAGTGCTCAAACCTGTAAAAATCCCACATCTAAGCAGCTGTTGCTACACAGGCAACTTTCTAGGGAAGAGCTTGAGGAAACAATCCTAGTGAGGTTTTATGTGAGTAAAGCTACATTTAATTTCTCCCTTCTCAGGTTTTCAAAACTGTTGATGCAACATATTTTGAATTACTTAACAATGTCTTCCTACCTCTCTCCTGAACAGTTTGATTTACTATGAAGGGACAGCATTGGTGTGGTTCTTTGGTGTCGTTAGCAGCAGAAACTATAAATGGAATCCCCAAGAGAAACTGTTTCCAGTCTCAGGAAATGCAGAAAAAAAACCTCTTATGTGTCAGTTTGAAAAAAAAAAAATTATTCATAGTGCACCTGTAAGAAGCAACATGCTTATTCTGCTCAATTCTTTAAATGAAWATTCTCATTAATAGAGGAACACTGAACACACACTGCACTAAGGAAATATTAATGCCTCTAATTATTAACAGTGAAAAAATGCACCTCAAATATTGTGCACCACAGTTACCTACTTGGAGTGCTACAGAGCACTTACATACCTACAAGTTCTACTCATATTTTTTAATCTAAAAAAATACTACACTCTCCTCATTTTGATTTTGAAACGACTGGGATATGTTCAAGTTAAAGCACATGCTAAAACTAATTTGYGGAGAAATCATAAAATTAGGGGGAGGGGAGAGCCAGAGTATATGTGGAATGGGCACCAAGGCATCCTAAAACACAGACTGTAGCAAGAGGGAAAAGCACACTACAGTTTAATAAATGATTAATGAGGTGCTGACACATTAATGTAAGCACAGGGACAACCAGGTCTGCCAAATCTCAAACCTTTCCAAATTTTGTCAACAAAACACAGTTTTAATTTGAGACAGGCAAACACGGAAAATGATTTTGAGCTTTAGCTTTAGCCCTTCATAGATTTTGAATTTAAATCCTGTATCAACACCAGGGGAGACAGAGGTATGAAAGAAACACATGGGTTTACAACTTTCTTCAATGAAGCTGGCACTATCGAATGCAGTAACATATCCTGACTCTGTGGATTATTCTGCCTGCCATTAAATAGTTCAGTTTGTGAATTCTTTGGAGCTTAGATTTTTTTTTTTAAATATTCAGAGACCAGGAGCCTGGAGATCAAGCTATTTATCCACGTTTAGCACTCTGCCTGTTTATTTGGTATAGTACCTCACCTAATATATCAAAATTAAGCATTGCACAACTCCTCATTTTTAACCACAGCCCATTAAGCTTTGCTCACTGATTAAGACATAGCATGTTCCTTGTGCTTTCAATTTTCTCCAGTGTATGGTGAGGGACCTGATATTTTTACAATGTCCCCAGCATCCAGTGGCAAAGGCAGAGAAAATCTGGTTAGGGTGATTTCCAGGTTTGGAGTGTGTCCTAAGTGTTAAATGTGTGAAATATGTAACTCCAGTGCTTGCCACTCTYCTGAAAGCTATAAATGGCTTGAGCACATTTTTATTTTCATCACCACTTGGTGACCTCTTCCTACAATATGTTGACTTCTTTATTCTAGTGACTAAAATCACTCTCCATTTAACAAGACACTTCAGAAGGTGCCTAACTAAGAGCCCATAAGTACAATACATTCAGTAATTTTGCTCACGTGCTCAAGGACAGGCCGGGCACTTAATTACCTTGTTGAATTGGGCCACAGCTCTCACTGCTATTTTTCAGTCTCTTTCTTTTTTTTTTTTTTTTTTTTTTTTTTTGTTTTTTTTTTTTTTTTTTTTTTTTGCCTTTCGCTTCTCTGGGGATGGAGCCTTGCATGTCCAAATTCCATTATCTGGGATTCATGAAGCATCATCTCTGTCTCTTATGCAAATTTGCAATAAGACACAAGTGGCTTCAATTCAAACATGAGTGGCAGCATCCCATGGAGGCAAACCAGCAGCCTCTGCTGCAGGAGAGGCTGTGGTAACAGAATCAAACAGCATGGCAATCTCTAAGTGACTTTCAAGGTTTTCATAATAAGTGAATGTTTGGGATTGTATTCTGTGACACAGCCTGAAAAGTTTCCTCTAAATTAAAACTTGACATGTGTCAGTTTACAAGCAGTTGTGTTAAAGCAAGAACAACAAGACAGCTAGGGCACTTGGGTTTCCTTAATTACAATAACATACAAAACTGTTTAGGTTGTATGAAYGACTTTTTAGTCCTGAAAAATCAAATCTGGGCAGAGTTCACCCATGACACCATCTACTTAGTAGCAGTATTATTATTACCACTAATTGGGGCACMACAGCCCATCCCACAAACAATTATATAACTTGTTGTGATGAAGAATTCAAAACCAGACTGAGCATCTGCTCCGTGGTGTTTCTGGAATAAAAAGGCAAGGTTGGGCAAAGGTGATAATACACAACAGCACCAAATGTTTTGTGCAATTGGGCTGATGAAACATAGAGATGAAATTATTTTCTCAAGGACAAGCAGGGACTGTGAGCACAGCTGAAGTGCTGAGCAGTACTTGACTTCTCCTCCCCAAATGTCTCCTTTTGCTAATAGAGACACAACCAGCACAGCCAGGGCCAGCACTGCTCCAGCACACACACACTGCTGGCACTCCACAGTGCTCCACTTGTCACATGCCTGGACATCTCAGACATGCAGAAAAATTCATTTCTTTCCAGTCCCAGCACACCTTTTATGTTAGACTTAACACACTCCCATATTTGCAAGCAAAGTTCAGGATAAAACTTCCTGATTTATTTCTGATTATGAGTCTGGATGAAGTTTCTCACACAGGTCACCTGAATCAACACACACTCTGCTTCCTCCCTGTACTTTCTTAACGTCTCTTGTATCAGATGATAATAAGACAATTCCCCGCTGCAGGAATAATAAAACCAAACCAACTCTAAAATCTGCTAAGAAAAGAAATTTTCCACAGGGCTGGTCCTTAGTGCAAGACCTTGCACTCATGTCCTTGACCCTTCACTGATTCTCCCATCAAAACCATTATCTGTGTTCTAAGAACTCCCAGCAACTTTTGGGAACTGATAAGTGACACCAAAAGTCGGACAAATCTCTGGGCAGTTTCATAGTCCAGGACAAGCAGAGGAATGAAGGGAGGGAATGTCTCCAATTTTTGTATGTGTRAAATGAGAATGGTACTATTTAAACRTATCTGGAAATACCTTATCTTTATGGTTTTTAACCAGAACTTTGACATCATCATTAAAGACCTTGTAAGCCACTGGCGACATTTCAAAGGCTGCTGATAGGGAGCACAGGGGCCCAAATTTCGCTTGGTTCCTACACAACACTGCCCCAAACACCCAGGAGCACCATATCGTTGCGATACTACATGTATGCTTGGTCCTTTTCACCCTAAGAAATGATAAATGAAGCTTGGACTCTGWAGAGCCCAGCTGTTTTATTTTAAGAAGTCTATTGCTAAAAGACCAACAAGTTCAAAAGTTTTTTTTTTTTAAAAAATGAAAAGGGAAGAAACAAAAGCAGCTATTGTAAAACAATAAGCCTGGSCACTGAAGAGAACGCTGTGAGCTTCAATGCCACCCTGTATTAGAGTRGGAGTGGTTCACTCAGCTGAAAGTGATTAATTTCTTGAAAATGCTGAGGTCACGCTAATTGACATGACCTGTGTAATTAAGCAGTCTCTGTTTACACACGGAAAGCTCAACTGCTGTGAAGCTGGGTTTGTATGACAGAATGTCTTTACAAGTCAAGAGATCAACAACCTTTCCTATGTCCTACCTCCCCGCCGACACAGCTCCTGATTGCTGCTCCGAGGGAACACGCACAGGCATTTCCATATGAAAATCAGCCTGGAGTCTGGGCGAGCACAGCCCCAGCAGAGTGWACATGTTGTGAAGCAAGCTCTGACAGGCCCCAGGGGTGACTGCTCCGACTAAATCCCTGTGCTGGGGAAACTCCTTTTCCCACCTTCTCTTTCTTTGATAATGCCCTCTCAAATCACAGGAGAAACCTGACAGAGGGAGGATTGTGGGGTGAGAAGCTGAGGGTTCTGCCATGCTAATGCTGGCTTTTATACTGATTAATTTAATCCCTGTGGCCACATCTCCTCACTTCTGCACTACTCTACTCAGAAGCAAATAGCACCCTTCTGCCTTCCAGCATCGCTGCAATTAAGCAGTTCAGCAAAAGACATTGCACATATAAATACTATTGTCATTTATATAACATTCAACAGTTTTATTGAAGCGCAACAGCGCTGAGAAGGAAGCAAACAAGTCCAGAGTAACTACAGAAAGCAGATGTATTTTGGAGTTGCCTTCYTCCAGAGACCCATGTGTTCTATGGGACAAATCTCTTTGTTTCTTCCTCAAAACCCTGAGGCAAACCCCCATTTACAGATTCTACCATGTTTCCTACCTGGGCCTTATTTACTCCTCCCACCAAAAGAGAAGGTCCTCTGACTCTCTACTCCATATTTTTATTTAGCACATACTCAAGTAAAGCATTATTGCCACAGTCAAAGGATCATGTCTTCAATAAAAGGGTTGGAGGGACTATTTCTCAGCACTGTGACCATTCTACTCTGCTGCCAGCCCTGGGGAAGTTCATGTACAGAGCACCTTCCCAAGGGACAGTGATGTTCTTGATCCCAAAACAAACCATTACATAGGTGGAGCATAAAAGATGTTCTTTGGCCATCTGAAGCTTTGTTGATACTTCAGCTCCCAAGCCTCAGTGCCACAAAAATACCAGCCCAAAACATCCCAAGAGACACCTAATGGCAGTTTTGTCTGAGTGCTGACAGCAGGAATGGACCTTCATCCCAACAATGCACATTTATGAGTCTTTACTGCTGCTCAAGAGTAACAATATAATCATGAGCCTGATTTTATTACTTGCTCTTACACCCTCCTCTGCCCCAGCYAATGAAGAAGGTGCTCATTTTGTGTTTGCATGAAAGCAAATAGTTYCCCATGCAGGGAGGAACATCCCAGAACAGGGGAGCCCCAAAACTGAAAACAACAACGAGGTCATTGTCATTTTTCCTTTTCATGCTTTCCCTTCCAGTGGAGACAACATTATCTTTGAGAGTTCTCTCTTCCAGAGCAAGAAAACTCAACTACTTCCTGCCAATTCTGCTGTGACAAGAAATCCTCAGGCAATATTTTGTGACCTTATGTTTTTAGCATCTTCCAGTGAATTACTAGGTTAGTTTGGGTCAAAGTACTTCTGTCCCTAACAGCTGCTGATTTTTAAAGGAGGAAGCGTGTCTGACTGACCTGGAATCGGCGCATGTCTCGAGGGTTTCCTGCATTTTTTAGGCAATTTTGGTTACATTTGAGGAAAAATTTCAAGAAGAACCTGTGGAGAAAGAGAAACAGACATTAATGTCTTATAAATAGGGTGTAACAAAACTATATGATATCTGTACATTTGGTCCAATAAAGACTTATTTACATCAATATTCCCAACTCAGACAAATCATCCTCCTCTCCATCCAAAGAGGGAGTGGAGCTTGCATAGGCCCCAATCTAGCAAAACATGTAAGCACATCCTGAAAATTTAAACACTAATTTCATAAATCTGTTGTGTCAGAGCCATTAAAGTTTGCAGAGTCAGTCCCTCTGTCACGCCAGGCTCGCTGTRCCATCCAGAGCAATGAGGGAGAGATGCATTTTTCATCACAGCAAAAAAGGGACAGAAAAATGCCAGACATGAAAATTCCCATTTGCATAAATGGGGTTTTGTTTTACAGGTTTGCTGTCACCCACAAGTTTTGATTTAATACAAAAATACTGAAAATGTTCCATACAGTTGAAATCTCCCTCACAGGATTAAACWCAGTTTGTGCATAAAATTAATGCTCAAATAGTGGTTAGTGGAGCCCAAATCCCTGAGAGGAGAAGGGGAAAAGTCTTGGTTAAGAGAATGACTTCATGGAAAAATGAAATATTTTTGATGCAGTCTACTTCCTGACCATACACAGGTCACTGAAGTAGCTATATGACCCTGACATATATCTCTAAGAAAAGACATTGCCTTTTRCAAAGCCAAAGAAAAAAGCAAACATTTCACTGAAAATATTTCCTTCAGTGTTATGCATCAGTGGACTGTAAACTCATAAAGACAAGTCAATGAATAATAGTGGGTCTCAGATTCCAGGCTTCCTCCCTGAAAGCCAAAGTTTATCAACTTTTTGTCCAAAATAAACTGCAGACTAAGGTCTACTAAAGCTCAGCCATGCAAAGTTTAATCCTACAGCAAGTTTAAAGCCCAGTGTAACCAGACAGGGCAGCATTACACGTACAATAACCATAAGTGACTAAGCAGAAGTTCCTCTGCCCTGTTCACATACAGAGCAGTGGGGTGGGGAACAGACTGATCCTGTTTTACTTTAAATCTGAATGTTAACTTTTACAAGCAGCCCTCTTTCAGCACCCAAATTGAACACTAGGTCAGCAGAATTTGCACAGACTGTCACCAAGAAAGGCAACAGKGCAGGGTAAACAGCTTCAGAAAATCCCTTTTTGATGAGCAGCATTCTTCGCCCTGCTCTAGTTGTGATGCTGCCCCTCAACAAGGCAAGTTTTGCCACTTGTTCCTCCATGTCAAGAAAATCATACAAGGCAAAGGGCCACAATGACAAATTGAAACTACAAGGGACTGTTTTCATTAAAGAAATGCAATGCAATGAGGAGGATTATCAATGTRATGCTTGGGATTATCAAGGACTAGATCTCCTGGCCCAGGAAGTCTCTTCTAGACCTGAGCTTCTAAATCAGAGCAAGCAATCAACAGGAAATAAACAGCCATCATGCTAGAACAGGGGTTTGGAGCAGTGTTTGTTTAAAGCCAAGAGCAGTGCAAGCCACTGCATTTCTCAATCAAGCAGGTTCTGATGCCCAGTAATGGAAAGGTGCTGCTATTTGCTGTACGTGTGTGCCTTTTGAAGCCACTAATGGCCAGCTGTGACAGCCTGACTCAGATTGTGTAGAAGGAGCTGTCAGCACAAATCTTGGCATCTCRGATCCAGACAACTGCTTGCCACCAGGCGAGGGTTTGTACTCGTGCCAGAATGGATTTTGAGAGACAAGCAAATAGGGCATTAATTCTGCCAAAGAGAAACGAAAAGTGGGGAGAGTTCAKGATCTTACACTTCAGATGGTGGCTTTCCTGTCAACAGCTCGTCATTTAGCTCATGAGCTATGAAGGGCACAGACATCAGATCCCTCTCGCCCTAAGCTGGCCTGGTCTCGTGAAATGCTGGCAGGATTCAGAGACCACCCCTCCACACGAGATTGCTCGCTGAAATAAAAAGCCTGGCCATCTGTTGGGAGGCAAAGACAGMCCTGTCAGCTGGTGCCTACAGCCTCGAACAGGCCCTTATGTGGCCAAACCTCTCAGAACCACTCACTCTTTGGGRAGAAGCTGGCGCTGCCCTGGGCTTACCGGGGGATTTTGGCGGCTTTGCCGAGGGTTGAGTCCAGCTGCCCACCCGGTCTGCCACAGCCCCAGAGCAACACCCCGGCCCCGAGGGGAGCTGGGACATGGAATAGTTAAAAATAGCCAAAAATTCCCATTTTGGCTCTGCATAGCACATGCATGATGGGCAGTGAGGGTGSTGGGTTGTTTGAAGAGCTCCCAAACACGATGGAAAGGTCTTTGTGAAGCTCCCCAAACAAACACTGGGCCTTCCCTCCCCTTRCAAAGCCTGAGCTCATGTCAAGTCAAAGGCTTCAAAAATCACTCCRAAACACAAGAGGTGGCTTTTGGAGTCTGCAAAAGTCAAACCCAAAGTTTTGCAGTCTAACTCCATTTGCACTGTGCTATAACCCCCAAAGGCTACTACAGAAATTTCACCAAAATAAGCTGCAGAAGAAATGAAGCTCATCTGTTTAAACCTACCAAAAAACCTCAGGCAAGCAAGCAAGCAAACAAAACTTCCTTTGAATTAAAGCAACTCCAGAAAAAAATTAACTTGCAAAAATAACAGCATTTTCAGAAGAACACGGAGCTTATACAGCCAAGTTCGCTCACTGCATTTTAAGCAAAAAAAGTTACCAGTTTACAGAACACATTCTGCCAACACCGTATTTTAATTCCACTGAAAGACAAAACAAACTATAGGGCTGCACTCTGTTTTGGAACACACCAGGGCTGGAGTCCCCTCAGCCACACGAGGTATCCCAGTCTGGCCCCACACACCCCATGGATGGAACCCCCACCCTGGCAGGAAGGAGGATGGGAACAAAGACAAGGGCAGAGCGGAGCAGTTTGATCCATGGGCTCAGCCCAGGCTCTTGGTTCCTGCTTTAAACTGCTTGTTCAGGTGCCTTCATCACCTCAAACCCGGTCCTGCCAGCCTTGCTCATTTAGCAACACTTCACTCTGCAAATATTTCAGATTTGGATTGACAGGCTGGTCCAGGAGAAGTGCCAACAGAGCTGAGCTCTTTGTAAGCATAAAACTCCATCCCCATTTGTTCCCATCGAACTTCTTCACAGTGGGTTATTTTTCTTTCAGTTCTAACTTTCCCYGCTTTTGGCAGGACTCTGTACCATTAATGCTAACCACAGAGGATATATAGCATTAATACTCACTACTGGGGTCTGAAATTCATTTCCAAGATGAAAAAAATGTGCAAAACACAGGAGCRTCAATAAAATCTTCAGCTCTCTCTCCCAACTTATGTGATTGCTGAACACCCGCTCTTCTGTCACACAGGACTCAGTCATCAATTATACTTATTGCTACCATTGAAGGTTTATTTTTTCTTGCATGAATCAACCAAAACATATTTTCTRACTCCCTTCCTGACTACTACCATCCCTGGTGTGAAGAGCATTTGTGCATGTGGAGCAGAGAAACACAATCAAGCTCCACGCGAGGCAGCCCAGGTCCAGAAACACAAACTTTTCACAAAGCATTCAAATTTACTGCCTGGCATTGGTATTAAATCAGAGAATTCCATGCATCTCCTTTRTCCCACAGAGACATGGCTGGAGTGGAAGGAAGGGAAGTTTTGGGAAAACCAGTTAATTTTAGATTGTAGTTAGGTGTTCTAAGATGCAGTGCAGGGCAGGCTGCAAAAACTGCTGAAGGAGTGAGGTTGCTGAGCAGTTAATCCATGCATTACTACAAATCCTTAAGTAACTGCAAAGTCTGGGGTAGAAATACACCCTCTGGTTAAATACAAACCCCTGGGCTGAATCAGGCCCCAAATTAATGTGAAATTTGTGTCTGCCAGGCAAAAGACCTAAAAAAAAGTATGTTATTGGCTGTTCTGGGAATGTTCTCTCCTTTTCTCACAATTCAATAGAAAATTCCTTTTTTGGAGATGATATTTTGTTGGGTTTTTTTTCCTAACAAAGCTGCTGTATTTTCAAAAATATTTTTGTGCCAGTAGGAGTATGCTCTCACCATCACCCTCAGATCTCTGCTAGGGAGGAACTCTACCCCAGGCCTGGTTCCTACACTGCTCCTCCCAACTCCTGAAACTATCTCCATCCTCATTCCTGCCCCTTCCATCCTCTCATTCCCCTTGTTCTGATGGAGCTGGTGAGCGCACAGTGCTGACAACCAGTCATTCCACTTCTTAAAATGCTCCCTGTTGGACTTATTTTTTTGCTAATATCTAATCTAAACCTACTCTCTCTACCTCCTGATTATTTATTTTTCCAAATAAAATTGCATTTTCTCTATATAAGTAAGGCCCTGCAGGCCTTGCTGTCCATCACACAGCAAACCTTTGGGTTTGTGCAGCACCCTCCTCCTCTTTGCCCCTACCACAGGGATTTAAATTAAACACACGGCAGAAATGGAAATCCTAGTAATGAAGATGTAAGAGGATTTTGCCTCCCTGCTTTTCTTGCTACTACAAATTAATACTCATGTTTATTAAAAATAACTGAAGAGTTAAATTAAAGAAAGCTAGCTCTGACATGATCTACGTTGGCTCTTCTGTCACTCYCCTGAAGGAAATTTAAAGGAGCTCAAACACCAAGGCTTAGCAGTAGGMTTTTCTTGCCATTGCCACAATAAATATGTCTGTGGAAGGAGAAAAAAAAAAATCGTTGGAAAGAAGACCTGCTGCATTCCTGATGCTGAAGAAAAGCTTGTTTGTTCCTGATACGTTGGAGAAGTTGTTTGAGAACAGTTCCTCCATGTGAAAATACGACAGCTGTCATGGTGCCAAGGTCAGCCAGAGCAGTGGCTGTCCAGAGAGTGAGTGCTGGTTATACAGCTCAGACCTGGCTAGGGCAAACAAAATGCACAAAATGCACCTTCTCCGTGGTGTAAACACATTTGATAGAAAAAGAGCAACTTCAGACTCCTGGATGAAACACAGCAGTAAGTATATGTGGGTTCATAAAATTAGGAAAA